TTCTCAGGAGACAGAGACTCTGGAGCCCTAGGAGATGTCCCACTGTGCTGATTTTAAATAAGCACTAAACCAATCAGCCTGGATGCTTTGGAAGACAAGGACTTGAGGGGTTCTTATAGAGTCTTCTAGGCCAGCCAGATTGTCAGGACCTAAGCCATCCATTGGACAGTGGGACAACCTGCTGAGGAAAGTGGAATCCAGTCCTGCTAACCATCCCATGGCCTGTGTCTCTTCTTCCTTGGCCTGAATTGCTTTGCTTTTCCTAGAGACTACTAACCTCCCAGTGTTTCCCCCTTTAATGCCTTCTGAGTTCCAAGATGAGTCAAATGGTTGTGCTCAATGACAATATTGGGAATAGCTCCCAATACCAAGAGAGAACACAAGGACAGATTCCAGGCAGTCAGGGGTATGGGGAGGAGGCAGGAGTTGAAGAGGGACATGTAGGAGTGTCTGAATCCCTCTGAGATGCAGAGAAAGTCCCAAAATATAAAGATCCCTTGGCCTCTCATGGAAGCTTCTTCCAGAGTAGTTCCATAAATGTTTGTTGCATGTCGGCCATGTGTAAAACACATGACCTTGTGAGAGGGACACAAAAGGCCTGAGTCCATGAGCTCACCCTGAGTGCTGTAATAAAGACACACTTAATGTTTTAAGGAGAGAATATCATTCCAAGTGGGAAGGGCTAAGATGTAAGAAGGCAGTGGTATGGAGTTGGGCCTTGCAGGAAGAGTAGAAATTAGATAGGCAAACTTGGGAAGAAAGGCCTGCCCAGCAAAAGGAGGAGTTTGAGAAAAGTTTTGGAGCCAAGAATATTAGGGTGTTGGGGTTGGCAGCCAGTAGAATGATGTACCTGGACGATAAAGTGCCTGAAGGAATTAAGTCAAAGGCTCTGTTGGGTAGGTTAGGCCTCACCTTACAGGTCCATGGTTTTCAAAAGACTTTTTGAGATGTAGAACCATTTTCTTCAAGAAAAGCTTATGCATGAAACAACACATGAGGCAAAAGTAGAGGGCTCTGGCTTAAAGGCAAGAGGGGGAAGCCTGGAGCCTCCCCCAGCCCCACTCTGTCCCAGGAACACCTTATGATCCACCCACAATAGTGGGCACACTTTATTTTCTTTTTTAACACTCCTCGCTGCCTACACACACCTGATCACTCAGCCTGTCCGTCCATCTATCCAAATGGTGGGCATACCTTAAAGAAAGTTGTAAAAATGGCATCGGGGTGGCATCTGACTTCCTGTAATTTCACAAGCAGGAAGGAGAATTAAGATGAACATCAGCAGACTGAGGTTGATTCCTATGAGGTGGACTCCAACATTCTTACCAGTTCTGACAACAGTCATCCCTCCCAGGGCACTCTCTACTTCTATGTTGGGTTTGATAATTTGAGATGTCTACACAGAACTTACAAATGATACTCATGATTATGGGGTTTACTAAAGAAGTAACAGGTTACAAATCAGCATCAGAAATGACTTCGGATACAGTTCTTCAAAGTGAACAGCCTTTTCTCAGTGCTTACAGGCATGTCTCTCTCTGGTCCTTGGCCTTTCAGCCCCACGGTCCCTTGGCCTCTGCCCTACTGGGGCAAGTGTTACAAAGCTCTTTTAGCTCTGGTGATAAATGCCAGTTGTACCCCACTCCGCCATTAAGCCTCCTGTCAGAGGGCACTCAACTTGCTCACTGCGTGGGCCAGGATGTCACCCCTCTGTCTCAGGCCGGTCTGTTTCTGCTGCCTCTGCTGCTGCCATTTCCCTGCTGCTGCTTCTCGTTGTTTCTCATTGTCTCCAGTAGCATAGCTCTCCCTCTCCTGGATTGTGGAGGTTCAGTGCAAGGATCCCAAGTCCAAAGGAGGTGCTCCACTCCTGGCTCTTCTTTCTAGATGGTAGTGAGATTCCACACCCTACCTCTACCCCTCACCCCCCACCACTGCCTTCCCACCTCTGGGATGGCTCATTTTAAACCTAGCAGGAAGGCATAACTGACCAATCACGTAAGGGTTCCATAGATCTTATTTGCATGGTCCTACCCCCACTGGGAACTCTGGTAGCATAGTGCCTAAAGCACTTGACTGTTAACCAGAAGGCTGGCAGTTTAAACCCACCAGCCACTCCTCAGAAGGAAGATGGGGCAATCTACTTCCATAGAGATACTGCCTTGGAAACCCAAGGAGAGGTCTCTATGAGTCGGTCTGACTCGACGGCACATAACAACAACAACAACAACACCCCCATTGGAGGAGCTCTGGTAGCATAGCACCTAAGGCACTTGACTGCTAACCAGAAGGCTGATGGTTCAAACCCACCAGCTACTCCTCAGAAGGAAGGTTGAGCAATCTACTTCTATAGTAATACCGGCTCAGAAACCCAAGAAGGGGTCGCTATGAGCCAGGTCCGACTTGATGGCACATACCAACAATAACAACAACACGCCCATAAGGGGGCAGTACACCTTATTTACATTGTTAGCAAGCTATCCAGTCCTCTTGGTGGGCCACAGTCTCCTCACATTTGCATAGTTGCACCCAGTCATCTGGTGGGAGTCACAAAGACCACAGCCAAAAGGGCCATAATAAGTAATTCAGTATACCACAAAAGTCAATGGGATCGTGCTGTCTGCAATACTCTACCAATTGGTTCGGAAATTTAGCAATATGTTTTAAACATTTTTCCCTAAGAGGACATGTGGATAAACCCTGCATAGTATTCTGTTGTGTGAATGCACTATTGCAATCTTTCGTGTGAGGTGGGCTTATTCCAATCTTTTGTTGGGGAATTTTTATGACAAACATAATTTTTTTTTTTCCCATAATTGACAGTTCAATTAAATGTGAAATTGAAAAGAAAAATGATCAAGATAAAAAGAAACTACTGTTTATAGGTCACAGGGAGTCAGTGAAGGACTTTAAGTAGGATCCTGATGGATGGGACCAGTGTGGGAAAACTCACCCTCCCCACCACGTAGGAGATAGACAAGTGGAGTGAAGTTGGCAGGAATGGAGCCCATGGAGAAAGCATAAGGAGAGTTCTAAGCATTAGGGTGAAAAAGGCAGAGAGATATTGGGCAGGGGGGAGTGGGGCAGGGAACAGATGGTTCACCATTGCACTAATGGATCTGCCCCCCTTCTCACAGAGCTGCCTGCCTCAGGTACCAGAAAGGTAAAACCCAGGTTGGTGAATTACTCTGCCCACCATTGAGAGTGAGTGTGTGACCCACAACCAGAGCTCTTATGTGGCAAGAAAGTCCTGTGGGTAGCCAATCTAACCACCCCCTGCTTGGAGTCACCTGGGACCCTCCTCTCCCAGGAGAGCAGTATGGGATCACTCAGAGCCTGAGGGGAAGGGTACCTCATCCCATCCTCTGCCTCCCTGCACTCATCATTTATAGAATGGTCGTTCTGAAACCACATCAGTTGGCTATAATGGTTTTGAATTGCTGTGGGCAGGGGGCTGGCTAGGGAGGGGTGGGAAGAACAGAGCTGGGGAGGAGCTATAGCAGGTGCAGTGGGACAGCTGTGAGTGAAAGGTATGAAAACAGGCACCCGCGTCTTCCTTTGTGGTTAGCTGGGTAAACAACCTGAGTGCTAGGTCAGGGAGTGGGAGGAGCAGGGGAGCGGTATAGAGAGGGGAAGGGAAGGAGGGTGGGGAAGAGGGGACTTCCGGAGACAAATTGGGCACGCCCCCTCCACTTGGAACACACTCCTTCCCTCAGCCCCATACCCGCGTCTCCTTGTGTCTCCTTACTTCCTGCTGCCTCTCTCTCTGCCTCTGGGCTTTCTGCTTCTGAAACTCTCCTTGCTGCAAGCTGAGAGCTGGAAGGAGGTTTATTAGTGATGGCAAGTAGCAGGGAGCGGTTTAACCCTGGTAGCCCCAGGCAGGCCTGCTCAGTGGAGGAACCATTGGCTCTGAAAGTAGAAAAATGGTGGGTTCCAAGCCAGAAATTTAACAGCTCTGGCCCCTTGGGCGGAAGCTCTGGTGGCGTAGTGCCTAAGGCATTTGACTGATAAACAGAAGGCTGCCGGTTCAAACCCATCAACAATTCCTTGGAAGGAAGATTGGGCAATCTATTTCCAAAGTGACACTGCCTCAGAAACCCAAGGAGGGGTCGCTATGAGTTGGATTCTACTTGACGGCAGTGAGTTAGTAGAGGCCTCTTGGGCCAGACAGGAGTAATATTATATACCTTGAGTTTGTTGTGCAGATTAAATGAAATAAGGCCCTAGCAGGATGCCTGGCGTCCTCAACAAATATATGACTATTACCACAATTATAGTTGTAATGACTACAGTCAGGAATAGGGTGTATGTCAAGCCCCATTCGTCTTCCCACTCCCAGCAGGATCCAGGCTTCAGTGCCCACTGTTCTCTTCAGAATCAGAACAGATAGCTCCTCATCCCACCCAGATTCTTCCCCAAAATTGAAGCCCTCATTCCAGACCCTGGGCTGCAGCTTCCCATACCTGAGGAAATATGAACACACAAAGTAACTTAGAGGTATACAGCACTTCAGAGTTTACAAAGGACATCCACACCATACATGTGTCTCCGTTCATCATATCACTATCTTGTGAAGAATTAGTTCTTTTCACCAATAAGAAGAGTGTACACCTGACTGGTGTACATGGGTAACACACTTGGCTGATAATTGCAAGTTGGAGGTTGAGTTCACCCAGAGGTGCCTTGAAAAAAAGGCCTGGTGATCTACTCCCAAAAAAAGAAGCCACTGAAAACCCAGTGGAGCACAGCTCTACTCTGACACATGTAAGTTCACCATGAGTCAAAGTTGACTCAAGGGCAACTGGTTTGGTTTACCAATGAGAAAACTGAAGTTGGAAAAAGCAAAGGAAAACGGGATTGGTCAGTGGCACAAATAGGGAGTGAAGGGACAAAAGCAGTTATCCTGGGGGTGGAGGAGAGATAGGAAAGGAGTTGGGTTTTCTCTTGGAGAGGAAAGTCCAGGTCCTCAGTTCCCTACCCTCCTGTCTCCTTTGTCCTTGCAGTACAAGGAATTCAGCAACTACAGTGACAGCACGGTGTCCCCGATGGAAAACTATTTCTGCTCCACAGCTGAGGGCCCCCTACTGGCCTCCTTCAAGGCCACATTCATGCCCGTGGCTTATGGCCTCATCTTCCTCCTGGGCATGATGGGCAACATCTTGGTGCTAGTGATCCTGGAGCGTCACCGGCAGACACGCAGCTCCACAGAGACCTTCCTGTTCCACCTGGCAGTGGCCGACCTGATACTAGTCTTCATCCTGCCCTTTGCTGTGGCCGAGGGCTCTGTGGGCTGGGTCCTGGGCACCTTCCTCTGCAAAACTGTGATAGCTCTGCACAAGGTCAACTTCTACTGCAGCAGCCTGCTCCTGGCCTGCATTGCCGTGGACCGATACCTGGCCATTGTCCACGCTGTCCATGCCTACCGCCACCGCCGCCTCCTCTCCATCCACATCACCTGTGCCACCATCTGGCTGGCGGGCTTCCTCTTCGCCTTGCCAGAGCTTCTCTTTGCCAAGGTCAGCCAAGACCATCACAACAACTCCCTGCCACGCTGCATCTTCTCCCAAGAGAACCAAGCAGAAAGCAATGCCTGGTTCATTTCCCGCTTCCTCTACCATATTGGTGGGTTCCTGCTGCCAATGATGGTGATGGGCTGGTGTTACGTGGGGGTGGTGCACAGGTTGTGCCAGGCCCAGCGGCGCCCTCAGCGGCAGAAGGCAGTCAGGGTGGCCATTCTGGTGACTAGTGTCTTCTTTCTCTGCTGGTCTCCCTATCACATCATCATCTTCTTGGACACCTTGGTGAGGCTGAAGGCCATGGGCACTAAGTGTGAACTGAACAGCTATCTCTCTGTGGCCATCACAATGAGTGAGTTCCTGGGCCTGGCCCACTGCTGCCTCAACCCTGTGCTCTACACTTTCGCTGGCGTGAAGTTCCGTAGTGACCTGTCTCGGCTTCTCACCAAGTTGGGCTGTGCCGGCCCTGCCTCCCTTTGCCAGCTCTTCCCAAGTTGGCGCAAGAGCAGTCTCTCTGAGTCAGAAAATGCCACCTCCCTTACCACCTTCTAGGCCCCAGCATCCTTTTTTGTTTCTGCTTTTTTTGCAGGGATATAGTGACTCTGGAACCCCTTTCAACAAGAGTTATGTTCCTAAGAGCTCACCTTGGCCAGCATCTTCATATGGCAGAGATGGATGAGCCAACCCCTGTTTCTAGGATGTCCCTGCCAGCTCTTCTCTCAGCCCCGTGGCTAGACTGGAGTCCAGGGAGAGGAAAGTAGCCCAAAGGCAAAGCAAAGGCTACCTGTGCACATCTATATCACCTTGGGCTGAAAGGACCCCACACACCTTCTCTCATCTGAACCATCCAAAACTCAGGAAACAAATTTACTTCTGCCATTGACAAAAGGGAAAATCAATCCCCTTCCAGTACGTACTCTATCATCATCTGGCCTCAGACTTCCACAGCTACCCAGCTTTCCTCCTACTCGACCTGCAGAATGAAGCCAGGGGAAGCTGAGCACCAGGGGATGGGTGGAAGTTGGGGTCGAGGTAAGGCAAGCTGACCAGGGAGTGTGGCCTTGACATATCTCAGTCCTTGACAGAAACAGACATTCTGCCAGGCCCCCAGCCCTGTAGCCATTTGACCAACCAGGAAGCTCAGACTGACTCCATTCAGGCAGCTGCTCCTGGCTCTGATCACACCAGCATTGGGACAGACAAATGGAACCTGGCAGATCTGCAGGTTAAGGGCAAACACAAGTGCTCTCAGAGACATAGCCAGTGTCCTGAGGAAGAACCAAGGCCAAGCCAGCAGGGGAGAAGCCGAATGTGGGAAAGATACCCATTCTGCAGCCCCAAAGAGGGACAAATATAAACAGAACCCAGCTGTTTCCTCTGCCCAGAGCAGAAGTAGACATAGGGCAAAGAGCAACCAGGGGAGATTGGATCCAGAATGCTGGTGGGTTCTGAGCAGATTCTTCCTTCTCAGACTCCCTTCCCACACACTAGGGGGACAGTGCGAACTACTAGAGCAGTCTCCGGCTACAGCAGAGCGAGTACTTGGCCAAGAGGCAGAATGGAGATGTAGACCCCTGAGGTGAAAGGAGTTATGAGTCAGGGGCTGGAAGTCACATTGTCAGCCCCTTGCCTGCAGGCCAAGCCCAGAGTGCAGTCCCTCTGGGCCTTGCCTTAGGCAAGGTAGTATGAGTGAAGACCTGGGCCGGGAAGTCCCCAGGGCCCCGAGGAAGCCCTGCCCCGAGAGGATACTACTCATATGGAACCAGAGGAAGCTGTTCCACGCTACCGGTGCCGTTAGGCATTTCTGGGCAATCCCTCCCTCCTCCCCAGCCTCGGATCTGGTGAGGGGCTTCAAGTCAGGGACACATCTGGGTTGCCCAGCTCCACTTAAGCCAATAGGCCTAGCTCCCTGGAAGACCCCCATCAGGGAGATCAGCGCTGAGGTTCTTGGAACTGTGCCTTTACCACAGACCACTGGGAAGCCCTGGGGTCCCCCTTTTTACTCTCAGCATCCAAGAGCAAGCTGGGCTGAAGAAGCCAGACACAGAAGCACAAAAAGCAAGAGGCTGGATTTTGAATTTTCTCTTTTTAATAAAAAGGCACCTATAAAACAGGTCAATACAGTACAGGCAGCACAGAGACCCCCGGAACAAGCCTAAAAATTGTTTCAAAATAAAAACCAAGATGATGTCTTCACATATTGTTATTTATATATTTATATATATATATATATATTTATATAATGGTACAAAATGGCTGGGGGTATGGCCATGAATGGAGGGAGTAGGCTGGCCTGTGGAGTTCACCTTAGAAAGCTAGACTGGTGGTAGAAGAGGGGTTTGGGGAGGGCATGGGCCCCTGTGGTCTGACCACTCTCTCCTCCGGGCAGGAAACACTTAGTCAGACAGTTTGAGGACTCCTGGGTCAGGGGTGGGGGGCTCATGGGCCCAGGGCCCAGGTTGAGGCAGGACAGGCAAAGCACCTGGCAGGATGGAGGGCAGGTGGCCCCAAAATAGAGGGTCCAGCCCTGGCCCCTGGGAGGTGCTGGGGAAGGCAGGAACCTGCAGCCAGCCCAGAAGAGCTGGCTGATGGTGGACTGAGGACAGCACCAGACATGGGGGAAGTGGAGCAAATTCCCTTTGTGACAGCTGCCAAAGCAAGACTGGCCCTGCACATTGAGAAGACTGGGGATGGAGGCCTTGACAGAGGATACCCTGTCTAGAAATGGCCCATGGCCCTGGAGGCAGGACACTAAAGGCCTCAGCCAGGGAACTGCCCTGCCACCTCACAAGGCAGGAAAGGAAGTGAGAAAAGTCTTTTTCTCCTGGGGCCAAAACACCCAGTTGTGTATGGCTTCAGCTCTGACCAGAGGTGGCAGGGAACTCTTCTGAGAACAGGGGGCTAAGGGAGAGGCAGTGGCTGAGCCTGGGTAGGCAGGCTGACCTGGTTCACACCCAAACCCTGGGCACAGGAGCCTTGCCAGGCAGAGGGAGAGAGTGGGAATCTCCCCTGCCACCCTTCAACACTTCCCTGATTCCATCCTCAGGGGTGGAGGCTGGGGCAGACTGACTCAGGCAAACCTTTTCCTTCCTCCTTTTGTAAGAAGTAGGTGACAGCCTCTGGATGATCCAGGACCCTGGAGGGTACCTGGTCCAAGGGTACTGCAGCAGGCACAGGACCACCTTGGCCACCACAGGCTCAGTGGCACCATGTCACCCCCTTCATGGCTCCACTCAAGCAGGTCATTCAATCACCTCCTCTTCCTCCTTTCCTTCATCCCAGACTGGAGACAAAAGATACCAAATTCGGGCTAAGATGTAGTAGCAGCAGGGAACACCCAGATGGTGTCACCACGTGGGGCACACACTATTGCAGGCACACACGTGTGTGCTCCCTGAATAATCGCTCAGCAGCAGACAGGCTACAGTCCTGGGATCTCAGCCCTACTGGGCTCACTACGTGGTCTGATGTCATTTGACCACTTGGGCAGGGGACAGAAATGGTATCCTTTATAAACCCAGAGACACTGCAAACAGTGGGTGGGTGTGTAGGACAGCATGTCCCTGGGTCTAGAGGAATGGGAGGAAGGGGTCCTAGTTTGAAGATGGGGAACGGGGTTGGAAAGGTCGGGCAGAGGATTCATCTTTTTTTTTTTGCGTGACTTCTATCAAAACACAGAAATACAGCACACTCACAAACCGGCACAAAAGCGCAGCGCTCTATTTACAGCTCTGGCTGGCACCTGCCCACCTGGCCAGCCGCCTGCAGGGAGGGGGAGGGAGGGGTCAGCCACATCAGCAGGGAGAGGAAATGAGGCAGGAAAAGACAGAAGGAAAAGCAGGTGGGGGCAGAGAACCAAGGGGAGGAGGGATGTGGAGCTCCACAGATGGAGAGGGGGAAGAGGAGAGATGGGGACCTTTCCTGTCCTCCCTCTCCCCCAAAGGCTACAGGACTCTGAACGCAAAGCTGAAGGAGGGTGGGTGCAGAGGAGAGAGAGAGGAAATAGAAGTTCCAGAGGAACTGGGAGAAGTGGGAGACGGGGGCAGTCCTGGTGGCTGAAATGGAACGAAACCCCAATCCAAAATCCGCCACCCCTCCCCCACCCCACTCTGCCACTTCCCCCTAAGCTGCCAGCATGTCTGGTTTCCACAAACGCCACTCCCCACACAAGCCCCCTCCCACCCCCTCCACCCCGCCCCTCAACCCAGGCCATCCAACACTGGAGGGGCAGAAACTTTGTTAAGGTTCTCATATTTGCAGTATTGCTCCCAGCTGCGGCCTCCTCAGGGACTGCTAGAAGGGCAGGTTGGCCATGCTGCCCGGCGCTGGGAGGTAGCCCATCTGGCTGTCCAGAGACACACTGCGCTGCCGCAGGGGATGGGACACCATGAGGTTCTGCTGGGGTGGCGGGCCCATGAGAGAGCCCTGTGGGGAAAGCATGTGAGGGGGCTGGCTGTAGACGTCGCCCCCCACACTACGTTGTTTCATCAGCATGAAATTCTGCTGGGTCATGAGGCCTTGAGGAGGGGACATGACCCCCTGGTGCAGGCCGTGGGGCACCATGCCTTGCTGTGGGGGCACACCTGTCCTGCCCAGCAAGGACATTTGTCCGGGGTGGCACACGGACATGTTGAGCCCACGCTGGACGCCCTGCTGGCCTGGGAGGTTGGGGGGCCGTGAGGCGGTCTGCTCCGCCATCATGTTCTGCAGGTTCATGAGATGCAGATTGGGGGGCTGAGCCTTGGGGGGCTGGTTCTCGCTCTTGGGGAAGTACTGGAGGGTGCTGCTTGGCTTCTCGGAGGGAATGATCCTCGACAAGTCGAACTCAGGGATCCCCGTCGGGGTGGGCCGGATCACCTCACTCAGCTCGGGATCGTTCAGTACTGATGCCACCCCAGGAAGCACACCCGGTGGGTATGCATCGCTCATGCGCCCAGCCATGCTTTTGCTCATCAGATGCTGCTGGGGGGGTATGGGACCTGGCGGCTGGCTAGGCAGGTCTTCTGGGGGCAGAGGCATGCCTGAGGCATAATGCTGTTGCAGGCCAGGCCCCCCACCCCCACTGGGGGCCATGGCACCATGAGGCTGCTGCAGCCGAGGGGGAAAGGGCATCATCTGGGAGGAGCTGGGCACAGGGCCACAGGGGGCATTCAGGGAGTCTGGGCCCCCCGAAGCCATCATCATTGAGTTTTGGGGGGGGCCTGCTGTCCCCTGCGTGTTGGGGTGCAGTGGAATGTTGGAACCCAGAGGGGTAGGGGAGGGCAACATGGTGGGCGGGGGCTCATGGGACAGGGGCTGCTGGCCTGCCAGGTTCATGCCCATGGGGCTCTGGGCAGCAGCTGAGTTCAGGTGCATCTGGGGAGGCTGGCTGTTGTTGATCCCTGTGGGGAAAGAGGAAACAAGGGTCAGGGATGGCATGCCTAGCCTGGGGAAGGTGCAGAACTCAGCCCTTCTCCATCTCCAGCCAGGTGGGTGCCAGGGGTGAAGGCTTTCACACTAGCCTCTCCTGGCTGCAAGGGAAGGGACCTGAGGTGTTTTAACTAGGAGCCAGA